GGATTCCCTTGCTCCCTGTGCTCACTTGTTTTGCTTGCTCGGTGTCGACAAGCGCTACCAACCAACACAGCAACCAACCAACCGACCAGCAACGCACCGTATCCGTTCGTTGTTCTTGATGTGTGTGTTGATGTGTGTGCGTGTGTGTGTGGCCAGCTTCCTGGTTGCTGGCTTCCTCTTGTCTTTGTTATTGTTGGTCGCGGTTGTCGTGAAGGAATGCTTATGGGCAACGAGCAAAGTTGGGCACTCAACCACAGCCACAGCGCGCGTGCGATGGCGTTGTAGGTCCATGAACTTGTGACTTTTTCACATCATCACCCCCAAGCACAGGCCAAGCAAAGGCAACTCTCACATCACTCAACTCGTCCTCCATCGTCTCTCGTCCTCGCACGCACAAGCACGGCGGCATGCTGATGATGTAATGCCTTGGTTGCGAACTCGTCGCAAACAGGAGCGATTTCCGGACCAAACGTGATTGCCGAATGTTTGTGGTTGATTTTAGCAAAACATCCAACGGCGCTAGGTCTGTGCACTTCATGGTGTCTTTTGGTTGTTGTCCGTTTGTTGTTTTGTTGTGTGTTGTCCTTCTCTTGCTTGTGTGTGTTGTCCTTCTCTGTGTCACCCTTGTGCGTGCTGTCAGGCTGTCCTTCTCTACCTCACCCTTGTGTGTGTCAAATGCACAAGTGCCCTAGTTCAACGGTTTATGCATGATCCTGGTGAGAAACAAGGAAGGAGAGAAGAAGAAAAATCAATACACAAACGTCACATACACTACAGCCGCCGAGAAGAGAAAGGAGGAAGGGAGGGAGCAAGCCCCAGACCAAGAAACGCCAAGAGTCAAAACAACACAAGCAACGTTAATGGATCCATGTAATGTAACAACTCGACACGGCCGACGGGTGGCAAAGAACAAACAAACGAAACAAACGAAACAAACAAAACAAACGAAACAAACGAAACGAACGAAACAAACGAAACGAAAGAAACGAACAAGACAACAAGGCAGGCATCAGCCGCACATCTTCATCAGCGGACAGCCAACACCACAAACGACCTTGAAGAAACTACAATCGAGGTTGGCTGTGTTTGGATTTGAGACCTAACAGGCGGCTGTGCTTCTTCTGCCCATCCTATTGTCACAATTGCGGAATATGTGGATGAGCGAGTGTGAGTGAGTGTGCGTGAGTGTGAGTGAGTGTGCGTGATGTGAATGTGTGCGGGTGCATGAGCAAGTGTTCATGAGCAAGTGTGAAGGAGCAAGCGCGGCTCTACCAACGCAGCAGCGAGGCACGCAAACACAACCACGAGCTTTGCATGCATCACATCGCATCGTATTGCAAGCGTACCTGGTATTCGGCAAGCAAATGCTTCTTCTTGCGCGCTTCCTGATGCTCAGCCCTCTTCTTCTGCCGCTCCTTGGCCTGTGTGTGTGTGTGTGTGTGTGTGTGTGTGTGTGTGTGTGTGTGTGTGTGTGTGTGTCAGCGAACAGACAGTAGCACCTCATCCAACACTATGAACCCACCCTCTTTCCCTCTTATGTTCCACCACATTACGCCACACGCGACAAGCGTACCCGTGTCCATTCGTCCTGCGCCTTCATAATCTTCATAAACGCGTGTGCCATGGTCACGTCCTTCGATGTTGTGGCCAGCGCGCCGCCAATGCCAATCGAGGCGATGGACGACGACGACGACGCAGACATGCGCGCACCCGCACCGGGTTGCTGCGGCTGCTGTGACTGCTGCGGTTGCTGTGACTCTTGTGGAGTGTGCATGCGCTGCTGTTGCTGCAGGTACTGATCTCGCTCGTGGTGGAAGTGCTGCGGTTGCGATTGGTGGCGGCGGCGCGGCGCCACAGCCTGCGATGGCTGAGACGTAGCAGACGGCTGTGTCTGTGGTCGCTGCTGTGCCCGCTGTTGTTGTGAAGCCTGCTGCTGCTGTGGCCGCTGTTGCTGTGAATCTGTCGACCCGCGCGCCTGCATTTGCTTTGCCCACCGCACCTGCCGCTGCTCGCCGGGTGTCAAGTGCGACGACGATGATGATGGCCCCAGGCCTGTGCCGCTGCCACCACTCATCCTTGCATCCTGGAATGGGGGCGCATCCCATCCCTCTGCAGCATCATCACCACCACCACGCTGCTGCTGCTGCTGCTGCTGCTGTTGTTGTTGTCTGCGCTGCTTTGCCTGCTGTGCCGCTGCCTTGGATCGTGCCTCCACCTGCGCGCGAATGGCAGCCGCATCCACGGCACCCACAGAGCCAGACCGCCGCAGCTGGCACGGCGTGGCGTGGAGTTGGCGTGGAGATGAAGCGTTTGAGGCAAAGGTGAGCAAGGAGCCGACTGGTCAAGGGGCTTGGTCGATTTCACATTCAAGCACACACACACACACACACACACACACACACACACACACACACACACACACACACACACACACACACACGCACGCACGCACGCACGCACACACGCACAAACACACACGCACACACGCACAAACACACACGCGCGCACGCACACGCACACACACACATACATGCATGTACGCATAACCCCCCCACACACACACACACACATCACCCAAGGAATACCTTGCTGCGTTCCTCAAGCAGGCGTTCCGTCTGTTTGAGCTTTTCCTCCCACGAAACGTTCAGCTCGTCAATGAGCGCCTCTGTTTCCTTGAGTTTCATCCGGGTCGCCAGCAACTCTTCAGAATCCGATTTGCTGTATGTCCCAACCTCGGCCCGCAGCCGCTCCAGCTCGTCCTGCAGCTCGCGAATGACGCGTGCGTTCGGGTCCTCGTTCACAATGGCATGGTTCACAATGCGCTTCGCCCGGTCCGCGTACCGCAGCGTGGACAGCGACTCCTCAAAGTTGAACGTGGACGGGCTGATGGTCGCCACCATCACCGTGCGCGAGTTGCCGCCCAGGCTGTCCTTGAGCAGGTACGTGAGGGTGGAGTCACGGTACGGGATGAAGCGCTGCTTCCCCGCTGCCGAGTTGTCGGCGAGGGCAGAGATGACGAGCCCTAGTGTCGTGAGCGACTTGTTGATGCTCGAGCCCTCCACCAGCCGCATGCCTGTCGTGCCTGTCTTTCCGTGCCGCTCGCTGCCGGCCAGGTCAACCAGGCTGATCCGGCTCATCTGACCAGGGGGTTGTTGGTGATGTGGTCGTGATGGTGATGGTGGTGGTGATGGTGGTGGTGGTGATGGTGGTGAATGGAATGTCAGCACCATGCAGCGCAAGGACGAGCAACAGCAACACAAACGACAGCAGCACACACGACAGCAACAGCAGCAGCAACAACAACAACAACAGCAACAACAACAACAACAACAACAACAACAACAACAACAACAACAACAACAACAACAACAACAACAACAACAACAACAACAACAACAACAACAACAACAACAACAACAAAATATGATACGTGTCCTCAAGTTGGGCTGCGCAGGCGACAACTCATCAGGCAAGCGAGCTAACTCCTGTGCACCTTTTCGCCAGTTGTCTTTGTTGCAGCAAAGTATCTGGCCTGGGTGACGGTTATGGTGAACACGGCGTGCGAACGGCTGGACTCCCGGTTCATCTGCGTCTCAGCCGTGTGCCGCACCTGGTGGTCCGTCGCGGTAATCAGTGGTAATCAGCAGTGGTGGTCGTGGTGGTTGATGAGCAGGGTGACGTGAGCATGTGCTGAGAGCGTCTGGCATGACGTACAGCCATCCTCGTGACACGCTGGTGTCACACAAAAGCAGGAAGCGCACCTTGTTGCCTTGATCCATGAGGGATTTGATGTGCGAGTAGCTGTTGACGGCGAGCTTGGAGAGGCTGCATGGCGCGCGAGGGAAGGAGACACGCACACAAACAAATGCGCACACATGGCGTTCAATGTGGATGAGGCGAAACAAGCGAGGAGGGGGGGCAAGCGTTGCATGCATGCACAGCAACACGCTCCCGCAATGGTGCAATGGTGCAATGGTGCAGTGGTACAGTGTCATGGTGCATGCAAGCTCACACACTCTCACAATCACATCCCATTGCACCATCACCATCACCGCCACTGCTGTTGTCTCTCACCCTTCGACATAAGGGCCGAGGATTTTGTGCTCGCGCAGGCGAAGGTTGCCGCGCTGTGTTGGATTGAGCAGATCTTGCACCTGCACACACACACACACACACACACACACACACACGTGTACACATATGGGTGTGAGTAGAGGAGGGCAAATGCACAGAGGGGCAAACAGCGGGAACAGGAGCAAACTCTGCAATGGGATGCACACACACACACACACACACACACGTGTACAAAGACACACACACACACATACTCTCACGCACTCATACGCAACCACACACAAAAGCACCTTTTCGTTGTAGATCTCCATGTAGCTGACGTCGACCTTGTACTTGATGGTTTCGTCCTCGTTGGCGGCGATGCGCGCGAATATGTCATCGCACAATCGCGGGATCATGCCCAGCTCCTCCTTCTGCAGCTGCGACTGCTGTCGCTGCGGCGGCCCCATCATCGTGTACGTCTTGCCAGAGCCTGGTAGCCGTTGTATGGTGCGGGTTTGAGGTCAGTGAGAAGAAGGAAGAGGTTCAGTGGTTGGTAGTTGGTGGGATGGCACAGCACCTGTGTACAGTCTAAAGTCCACAACCACGGCCACGTCACACACACATACACACATACACACATACACACACATACACACACGCGCGTCACACGCGTCACATATGGCACACCTGTTTGGCCGTAAGCAAAGACGCAGGCGTTGTATCCTTGGAAGGCATTTTCCAGTACCTCCCTTCCAAGCGACTCAAACACGTGCTCCTGCCCAACAAAGTGCTCATCCTCGTGATTCACAGACCAGAAGCTGTGGTCAAAGTTGAACACCTGTTGTCACACAAACACAAATGGGCGGTGAGAAGCAACAACACAAGCAAACAAGACGCGTGCACGTAGTTGATGTACGCACACGCGATTCATACATGCACGCACGCACGGAAACCATCACACGCACGGAAACCATCACACGCGCGCAAACGACATGCACACGTGGATGATAAACCTTGCGCTTTTCAGTCTTTGGGTTGTGAAGGATGGTCTGCGTGTCTTGCATGGTGACGCATGGCTCCCTGTCCAGCTTTTTCTCTGCAAATGGAAGGCCGAATAGTGATGAGTGCAACACTGTGCTCTTCATGTGCGTCGCAGCCAGCGGCAGGCAACACGCGCGCCACTGCATATGACAGGCTCACGCATGCACCACATACAAAAGTAGATGCAAACACACACATATACGCACGCACACGCACACACACACACGTACGCACACACAGCCCACCCCCACACGCATACACACGCACCTTTGGCGCTCAATGGCCTCACACGAACAGCCACCTTGACCTTGGCATCACCACCGATGGTGGAGCCGCCCGCCTTGGTCTTGTGGTGGTGATGGTGCTTGGGGCGAGGCATGATGGGCACACACAACTGTACTGGCCGCCTCTACCACGCACACACACACACACGCACACACGCGCGCGCACACACGGCTTCTCTGCCCGCGAGCTGTGCAGCTCCTGGTGCTCCTTGCCCCCTTGCCTCCTTGCTGGCGACCTGGTTGTTGACTTGTGATGTGTTGTTGTCCTCTTCTTGCCTCTAACCAGCCAGCGCCATCAAACAGCACACTCGCTCGCTCGTCCCGTCTCCGCTTGTTGGGGTCAGATTGCAGAATATTCGTTGAAGATGTACGTAATCCTCTACATCCGCGACACTGCCTCGGTTTCGCTACGCTACCAGCCAATTTTCCACAACCAGCAAGACAGCAGCAGCAGTGGTGGTGGGTTTGTTGGATATGAGAAGAGGGTGGGCGCTTTGTGTGTGGGGTGGATGAGATGGGATGAGATGGTTTTGTCAGTCGGTGCAGCTCGGTTCAGTTGGTTGTTTGGTTGTTGCTGTTGCTGAGCAGCAGCAGTGGCGGTGGCGGGTTTGTTGGATATGAGAAGGGAGAGGGAGGGCGCTTTGTGTGTGGGGTGGATGAGATGGGATGAGATGGTTTTGTCAGTCGGTGCAGCTCGGCTCAGTTGGTTGTTTGGTTGTTGCTGTTGCTGTTGCTCTTGGTGTGAGCGAGTATTTGCAGCTTCAAGCTTCTCCACCATACCACCCGTGTTCTCATGTTCTCACTTTCAACGCCAACATAACTACAACAACACAACAATGCACACCATGTTGCACATCAACTTCGCACACGAATGGCAGACACAACAACAAACACATACACGAAGACAAACAACCATGTCGACGTCGACGCTGCAGGACCGCCCACGCCCGGGTGGCTTCCCCACCATCAACTACGCTCGCAACGTGCCGAAGCGCGGCCCTTCTGGCCTTGCCATTGTGCTTGGTGGCGCCGCTGTCTTTGTGCTTGGCATGTACAAGATCAACGAGGGTCGCAGGCAACGAAAGTGCGTTGTGAACGTGTGTTTGTGTGTGTTTGTGTGTGTGTGTGTGTGTGTGTGTGTGTGTGTGCGTGTGCGTGCGTGTGTGTTTGTGTGTGTGTGTGTGTGTGTGTATTCACTTGTCTTGCTGCTTGTGTCTGCCTGAATGCGTGATGTGTGTTGGCCCTTCTCTTCTCTCTTGTGGGATGCAGTGCTCCCACTCAAGCACAATTTCCCACTCGTGCAACTGCATACACACACACACACACACACACACACACACACACACACACACACAGGCTGCTGCACCAGGAGAACGTGAACTCCCGCCTTGTTCTGGAGCCATTCCTCAACGCTGAGAAGGACCGCAGGTGAGCCAGCGCTCTGTATCACATGCAATTGTGCAGGACACACATTCACACGAGTCCAGACATTATGTTGGCTTCGTCCTGGCCTGCTGGCGTGGCCAACACCTCATATGCACCCCCGTGCATTTGCTGTGATGCAGATACATTCAACAGGTTGCTGAGCAGCTTGAGGCCGAGTCGATCATCATGCGGGATGTCAAGGTAACCTGCACGTGCTACATTCCGTGTGTGTGTATGTGTGTCTGTGTGTGTCTGTGTGTTGGGTGTGTTGGGTGTGTTGGGTGTGTGTGTGTGTGTGTGTGTGTGTGTGTGTGTGTGTTGGGTGTCTGTGTCTGTGTGTTGTGATGTATGTGTGTGTCCGTGTTACAGTGTGTCCCATGAGCAGACGCTAGCGCCTTTGCGACACGTCGCTCACACATCTCCCCCTCCGCCCCTTGGATGCAGGGCTGGAAGGTTGGTGAGCGCGTGTACAACACGGATCGGTTTATCCCGCCTGCACAGCGGCTGGACGTGGAGTACAAGCACAAGTAGCGGCAGGGCCCGTCACGCAACGTGCACGTGGTTTGATGTGATGCGGCTATTGCATGTGGAGCGTGAGGAGGAGAATGGTGAGGACAAGCGAGACGAGAGCAAATCAATGTGGTGTGAGCACCTTCGAAGATGTGTGTTTGTAGTTTGCGATGAGAATGGTGGTGTGTTTTCATGGGTTCGAGGCTGTGCTTGGTGTGGTGCCATCGTGTTCTTGCTTGGTTCTTCTCGTGTGTTTGTGTGTGAATCAAGAACTTGAGAGAGTGGCGAGTTCACGGACTTGGGTGTGGGTTCTCCCTTGTTTCATTTCTGAGGTGAACACAAATTGGCGTGCACACACACACACACACACACACACACACACACAACAACAACAACAACAACAACAACAACAACAACAACAACAACAACAACAACAACACATACACCACACCGTGTGAGCACACAGCCTACCAGAGTGTAAAAAGCAAAAGCACCACAGCCAACAGTAACCCTTGGCACATAGCCGCTAGTAACCAACACGTACACACGCGCACGCACACTTACTCACACCCTCACGAGCACACGAGCACGTGAGCAACAAGTGGAACAAAACAAGTTGACAAACAGCAACAATATCAGGTGTTGGGTCCATTGTCAACACGCAAAACCAAGAAGTTACGACACGCACAACGAATGAAAAGAAAGCGACAGACGGCGGGTGGTGTGTGCTGACAGCAACACACAAAACTTGTGCTGTGCTGACAGCAACACACAAAACTTGTGCTGTGCTGACAGCAACACACAAAAACATGTGCACATGGCACGTAGAGAAAGAGAAAGCGAAGCACAACCTAGAGAGAGGAGAACAAGAGAGATAGGGGAGAAAGGAGGGAATATGGAGCGCTAAGAATCGCTGCTGCCTTCGTTCAAGTCAACGCAAGGGGAATAACACAACAGGGAAAGGCGAGGGGCACACTGACCCCCCCCCAAAAAAAAAGTCCACCACGACACAACGCAAGCCATGCTCATCATCCCCACCAGTATCGGTCGCAGCAGCGGCATGTCAGCCAACCATCAGTCATCAGTCATCATCATCATCATCATCAGTCATCAGTCGTCATCATCATCAGTCATCATCATCATCATCATCATCATCATCATCACGTAACTGCTGAATATCTTCAAGAAAATGACCCGACTTAAGGTAGAATTGGTTGTACACCGTATGACGCCACTGAGCCCTGTAGAGGTCGAGATGATTCTCCACCGACTCGTGCTAAAGTCCTTTGGTCTGAAGATGTGTGCTCATCCGCTCCAAACTAAGATATAAGACAAATTGAACATGAATCTTCATCATCATCAGTCATCAGTCGTCATCATCATCAGTCATCATCATCATCATCATCATCATCATCATCATCATCATCATCATCATCATCATCATCATCATCATCATCATCATCATCATCCCATCAACCAACCAATCAATCAGTCAATCCTTCCTTCCATCAGAACGTGTCCTCCCTGACGGGTCCTGCTGACACCGGTGGTGGCGGTGCTGGCCCTGCCCGTCGCACATGCGGTGGTGGAGGGGCGCGACCACGCCCACGGCCGCGGTGAATACCGCCGCCACGCCCACGCCCACGGCCACGCACTGCTCCCGGTGGCGGCCCCACTGGCGCCTTACCGCGTACACCACCACGGCCACCGCGACCACCACGGCCACCGCGGCCCCGAGCTACGCCCAGACCGCCACGCCCGCCACGCCCACGCGTTGCAGCAGGCAGTGGCGGCGCTGTTCGCATCTTGCCTGCATGCACGCCCTGCGCTGCCGCTCCGTTGCTTGTCGGGGCGGCATGTGCTGGTGCCAATGTCCGCTGTGCGCCGGGTGGTGGTGGAGCGTGGCGGGGGCCACTGGCGACCTCGCTCAAGGGCCGGCCGTTGGCTGCGGGCCGCGTGTTGTCGCGCATACCCTTTGGCAGCGTCGACTCCACACCCGGTGATGACGACGTATCGCTCTGGTTCGTGCTGCTGTTGTGCCGATTGTTGTTGTTGCCTCGGTGGTTGTTCCTGCTGCTGCTGCCGTTGTTGTCCCCTCTGCCTGCCGCGGTGGGCGCCCCCACGTTCTCCTCTGCGTCTGCACCCAGCATGAGCTTGTCCAGCTGTGCAGAGAGATCGCCAGTGCGCGCAGGCAGCGTGCTCGATTTCTGCCGCGCTGCCGCCGCTTTCGCCACAGACACCTCCCTGATCGTGGGTCAGCAGTGGGTGGGTGGGTGTGCAACAATGAACGTGAGGAGGGACGAAATCATGAGCGGAAGTGAAGCTGGAAGAAAAGAGAGAGGGGGGAGGGGGAGCAGTAGCACAGACGATCATATTGCAAAGCAAAGCAAAAGTGACCAAACAAACAAAACAAACAAACGAGAAAACACAACAAGCGTCATCAGCCACCACAACGCGACAGGAAAACAAAATCCAAGCAAAAACCAAACCACAAAACCAGAGCAAACCAATCACAAAACCAAAACAAAGCAACTCCCCCCTTCCATTTCTTCCTCGCTCTCGACATGCTAGCGTGCGCGTACCCTGAGAGGTCCCTGTAGACAACAGACATCGGGCGCTCCTTGGCCCGCCCGCCGCGTTGTCGCTCGTCTCGTGGATCGCTGAACTGCGCAGGCGGGATGAACAGCCGCAGCGCATGCTTCGACTTTTGGATGCGCGTCTGCAGACAGTTGTGCGTGTGTGTGTGTGTGTGTGTGTGAGTTGAAGTAGCACCTGAGGTGACCAGAGCACAGAAGAGACATTCACGGAACATAAAGATGCACAAACAACACGAATAAGCAACCACACACGCACACACATGCACACCAAACACACGTACGCACACACTCACACAAGCGCACACACGCGCAACACATGCGCCAACTTGGGACACACCTGCTGTGCGTCTGCTTCGCCGCGTTCAATGTTGACCGTGGTTGTGCCGCGCTTGTCAATCTGGATCTCAAACGAATCTGAGATGGTCATCTTGAGCCGCTTGGCGTTGCAGTGCTTGCGGTAGGCAATGTCCAGACGCGTCGCAAACTCAATCAGGGAGCGGCAGTAGAACATGTGGTCGCCCTTGGCCGTGCTCTTCTTCTCGCGGTCCGGCGCCACGTGGATGACAACCAGCGTGTCGCTCTGTGTCGTTGCGCTCAGCTGCTCCACATCGGCCAAGTCGACGCAGTACTTGAGCTTCATCTTCTCATCCAAAATCTGAACAAGGCGTTGTTTGTGATGGGTGATGCGTGATGCAAACGTGGTGGTGTGAGTGACGGCCGTGGGAACAGCGCAGCGTATCTTCACTCACAGGCGGTCATCACCACAGTCAAACCAATAAACACGAACTAAAACAAACCGAAACTTAACACAAACAAACTAAAACTAAATCACAACAGCCAGATCAAACCAAAGCAAATCACAACCCTTCTCCCCTCAAACACACACACCTCCCCCCCCCCACACACACACACGCACGCACACACACACACACACGCACACACATCAGGTTGGGACGCACCAGGAGCTGGGTTGGACAGAGGATGAGGACACGGTCGACGACATGGCCGTTGGTGCGGTTGATCTTCTCCACGCGCTGCGCAAACAGCACTTCGCTGCTCTTCGTCTGCTCAGCAACCTTACGCCACTTGGGGGCAACCTCGCCAACGTGCAGGCCAACGTGATCGCCCACAAACGGCTGCCCAACCGAGATCGGGTATGATGCCTTGCGACCCTTGAACAGCCGTGACGCAACAAGTTTCATGCGGAGAACCTCCTCGTCCTTGCGCGAAATGCGATCGCGATACAAGCGGCAGCGCCACTCGTGGTAAAACGCCTTCATGTCCTCAGCAGCAGCGAGGAACTTGCGCGGGCTGGAGATTGTGGCGGGGGCCAGCGGGGACGTGGACGGCAGATTCGCCGCCGTTTGCCTGAACAGAGAGAGAGAGAGAAGAAAAAAAAAGGAGGGGGGGGGGAGGAGTATTGGATTGAGCGAAGGGGAAGGTACAGGACGGGAGGGCATGAGCTGTGGTAGCAAACAACGTACGCGTGACACGCTGTCATCTTCAAGTGCACAGGCAAGCACGCACAAGCACGCACAAGCGCGCACACACAAGCACACAATCGCATCACGCACACAATCGCATCACACATACACGAACACACACACACACAGACACAATCGCATCACACACGCGCGTGCGCGAACACACACATACACACACACACACACAAGTGTACACGCATGTAGCGATGTACCTGAGCCAGGCCTTGCGCTGGAAGGTGAGCAAGTTGTTGTACACGACGGGCCCCGCATTCTTCCTGAAGAGCTTGGCCGTGCGTTTCCTCACCAGCCACCCGCGAATGTGCGCGGCAATGAGCACCTGCGCCTTGGCCATCGCCAGCCGCTGCATTTCCTGCGCAATGTGCCGCCGCTCACGCCACATGCGCCAGTACGCCGTGATCATCACCAGGCCCTCGCGCGTCTCCTGGAACTTGGTGCGCTGCTTGAACCCGCGGTACCGTGACGAAATCAGCGTCACCGCTGACCGTTTCTTCTGGAAGTCGGTGCGCGCGCGCCAGCCCTTGTACACGGCCTGCAGCTTGGTGGCCAGCACAATCATCTGGGCACGGCGCAGGTCTTCCATCTGCAGCACGGCGCGCGGGTTCTGGATGAAGATTTTGGAGCGCCCAAACGCATATTGCGCCTTTGTCAGGTCGCACCCGTCCTCCAAAATGTACTTGGCGCCGTCGCGAGGGTTGCCCTTGAAATTGGGCCACGTCAGCTTCGTCAGCATCTTGTACCGCTGCACAAACTTCTCATATTCCATTCGAAACGCGTAACCGGCGCGCCGCACACGAAGGTTCTCCAGCAGACCAAGATAGCGGACCTGGTCACGGTGGTTGTGGGTGGGTGAATTTTGGTATTGCGGCGGCGGCGGCCGTGGTGGTAGAGGTGGGTTGTGGTGACGAGGAGAGGTGCCCACAAGGGAGTGGTGAGAGCAGCGAGCGCTGGCGCAAGATGAACGGGGGGGGGTCGAGAAGGAATCCTACACTGGAACAAGCGCGCGCACACACACGCACACACATACACACACACACACACACACACACACACACACACACACACACACACACACACACACGACG